TGTGGTGGCAGCGGTCATACGTGTTCGCTTTGGCTGGACATGGTGGTGCACACCTTCAATGCCAGCACGAGGGAAGTAGAGGCAGGAGGATTGAGAATTCAGGGCAGCCGCAGCTATAAAGCAAAGTCCTGCCTCAGATAAACCAAACTTGGCCCGGCATTGGTTGCATATTCCTTTAATCCCAGCAGATTAATAGAGGCAGAGACAGGTGGCTAGTTGGGAGGCCAGCCTGGTCTACAGAGCGAGTTTCAACTCAGCCAGTGCTACACAGATCCTGCCTCAGAAGTAAATAACAATAATCTTATAATTTAAAGATATTCAGCTTTCCTAGAATGTTCTTTCTGTTTTGCTTTTAAAAAAATATATAGTAATTTTTTTGATTTTTTGAGACAGGGTTTCTCTGTATTGTTTTGGAGCCTCTCCTGGAACTTGCTCTGTAGACTAGGCTGTCCTGGAACTCAGAGATCTGCCTGCCTCTGCCTCCCGAGTGCTGGGATTAAAGGCGTGCACCACCAACGCCCAGCAATTTTTTTATGTAACTTTTTATACATGTTACTCTCAGTTCCCTCTCCCTCCCCCATTCTACTCCATCTCCCCTCTGCTCCCCAGGGAGGGTAAGGCCTTCCATGAGGGATTTTCAGAGTCTGTCATATAATCCCGGGTAGGGCCTAGGTCCTCCCCCATGTGTCCAGGCTGAGAGAGCATCCCTCCATGTCTGTTTTGCTTTTTGAGGCTGGATTTTTCTGTGTATCCTTGGCTGTCTTGAAACTCCCTCTGTAGACCAGGCTGGCCTCGACCTCAGGGATCCACCTACCTCTACCTCCCTGAGTGGAAATGTTTCCACTCTTACAAGAAAGGTAAAATTGGCTGAGGTAACCTCAGCTGTAAGTCAAGGCCAGACCAAGTCACTCAGGAAGACATCATCTCACATTGAAAACATACAGAAAGACATGGAGATCTGCAGTTCAGTAGCACAGTATCTGTCTAGCTGGTGCCAGGCCCTGGGTTCAATCCCTCTCTCTCAACACTAGCACCAACGACAGAAACCAGAGTATAGGACATTTTTTTTAATACAGGCAAGGAAGGAAACATGGGAAAGTCAATATCAGATGGTAACTGTGAACAATGGGAGAATGAGTAACATATGATTTTTTGGGGGGAGGGATTTCACATTTGTAAAAGTTATTATTGCATTTTGCTAATTTTTTGTTTTCATGTGTAGGTGCGTAGGTGCATGAGTGCGTGTGTGCGTGCGTGCGTGTGTGGACAACCTACAGGATTTGGTTCTCTCCTCCCACAATGTGGCTTCTAGGGATGGAACCGAGACCAACAGCCTTGGAAGCAGGAGCCTTTACCCACTGAGCCATCTGCCGGCCGAGCCACCTTGCTGGCTTCTACTGTTATTGTAGTTTTGTTTGTGATACGGTCTCATGCAGCTCAGAACGGCACTGAACTTACTACCCAGCCAGAGATGGTCTTGGACATCTGACTCTCCTGCCTCTGCCCACCAAGTGCTGGAATTACAAGTGTGTATCACCACCCCCAGCTGATTTCCAAGGTCTCTGTTGTTGCTGCTTAGACTTCTTGTATTGTATGCGTACGAATGCTTAGCTGCATATGTGTGTGGACACCGCGTGCATGCCTGGTGCTTGCAGAAGTCAGACTCGGACACCGGATTCCCTAGAACCGGAGTTATAGATGGTTGTGAGCCACAATTCAGGTACTGAGGATTGAACCCAAGTCCTCTGCAAGAGCAATAAGTGCTCTTGACCTCTGAACCATCTCTTCAGCCCCCCGGATTTCAAGTTTTAATAAAACTCACTGGAGGGGCTGGTGATACAGCTCTGTAGTAAAAAACTATTTACCATATGCTAGATCAAGGTCCTGTTCCCCCCAACCCCCCCAAAAAAAACCTCACCTTGGAATCATTCGTTTCTTGTTCTTTTCTAGTCAAGACAACCCTGGGGAGGAATATTTGCTTAGAACTGGGGGGGGGGGAGGCCATGAAAATCAGAATTTCTTTGGAATGTGCCATACTCCCCCATGATCGTGGTCTGTATTTGCCTCCCTGTATTAATTACTTTTCTCCTCACCAGCCAGGCCACAATGAGGAAAGGTCCCACAACCTTCCAAATCACCACCGTTGGCTGTTTTAGATCTTGCGGCCTGGTGGGATAATGGGGAGCAGGCAGAGGGACTCCGGGTAAGGCTGGAGCTCTGAGTTTGATCCCTGGCGACCCCCACAGTAGGAAAGAGCCACCTCCTCCAGGCTGTCCTCTAACTGCGACGCTTGGGCCTTGGCATACACACATTCACCCATACTCACACATACATGCAACGTAAATACATCAAATGAAATTTAAAAACCGCATATGATCCTGTGGGAGGATGGTATAGAGTCAAATATAACACCTTCCTTTTCGTTTTTTTTCCCTCATTTCTTATTTAATTGGTTTATTTATTCCGTGTATGGGTATGTGTGCAGGAACACCGCAGCACACAGGCCGGCAGAGGGCAACTTCCTAAGAATCTGTTTTCTCCTTCTATGACAATGGGTCCCAGGGATCAAACTCAAGTTGTTAGGCATGGTGACAAGTGCCTTAACCTGCTGAGCCATCTCACTGGCCCCAATACCCTCCTTTCTTACTTATAACTCATATATATATATATATGTATGTATGATACATAAACTATATACTATCACATACTATATATGAAATATGTAGCATTAGTAACATAATACATCTTATTACATTTATCACTTACATGTTACACAGTTATTTATTTATTAATTTATACATATTGTTATGACTAAAATGTTAATATATTGAAAGCATATGATTAAAATATATGTGCACATATATGAACATTTTATGTTCTACATGATATATAATATGCGCATAATATATGTATATATGTAAAAGACCCAAAAATACATAAATGAAAAGAGTAACAAAGCACAAATATATAATAAATGATGTTTTAAGTCTACAATCCCAACAGTGAGAAGGCTGACAGGAGGCTAACTGTGAGTTCGAGGTCAGCCTCCTCTGCATCGGGAGTTTGGAAGGCCAGGCAGGGCGACAGTGTGAACGCCTGTCTCAAAAGAACTCAAAGCAAAATGCAGCATTCCCACTTCAATTACATATCCAAAAGAAACAAGAGTAAAACTAGCAGCCGGGCGTTGGTGGCGCACGCCTTTAATCCCAGCACTAGGGAGGCAGAGGCAGGCGGGTCTCTGTGAGTTCGAAACCAGCCTGGTTTACAAGAGCTAGTTCCAGGACAGGCCACTGAGAAACCTTGCCTCAAAAAACCAAAACCAAAAATAAGAAAGAAAGAAAGAAAGAAAGAAAGAAAGAAAGAAAGAAAGAAGAAAGAAAGGAAAAAGAAAAGGAAAAAAAGAATAGAACTAGGCTTAGCGGTGCATTCCTGAAATCCAAGCACTGAAGATCAGAGACAGGAGAAACATGTGTTTTAGGCCAAACTGAGCTATGCAGCAAGACTTTGATCCTAACAACAACAACAGCAAAAAGCCCCACATGGTGGCACACGCCTTTAATCCCAGCACTCAGGTGACAGAGACAGGAGGATCTCTGTGAGTTCAAGGCCAGCCTGGTCTACAGAGGGAGTTCCAGCATAGCCAGAGGTGTTACACAGAGAAACCCTGTCTCAAAAAAACCGAAAGCCAACCAAACCAAACCAAACCAAACCAAAACAACTCCCCCCTAAAAATCCACCACCACCAACAATGAAAACATCTTAGGAAATAAAATCAAGAGGGTGAAGAGATATCTGTACTCCAAGTTTTGTTACAGCACTGTTCAGAATAGGTAAGAAGCTGAATCCCCCTATATGTTCATGGACAATAAAATGTGGTATGTTCATATAATGGAATACTATTCAGCCATATAAAATAAATCTTGTCAATGACAACATGGAAGGAAACAAAGGCCATTATGCTAAGTGACTTAAACTGGGCACTGAAACTGGCGTATAATCACATTCATTTGCAGAACCTAAAGTAAGAACCTTTGTTTCATAGAAGATTTTTCTGTTGTTGGTTTTGCTCTTTTTGAGACAATGTCTCACCTAGCTCAGGCTGGCCTCATACTTAACTGCAGGGCTGACTAGGAGTTCAGACTACTGATCCTTCAATCTCCTCTTCTCGAGTGCTGAAACCACAGGCAAACATCGCCATGCCTAGCAGGAAGCCGGGAGTATAGACTAGTTTATCTATCGCAGAAAGGAAAGGGGTTACAGACGAGGAAGGAGAGCCTGAAGCTCACAAATGTACTCCATGCTGGTATGAAGTTTACGGTAATTCTCTTGCACAAGTGTGGGCAACCACATAGGGCTCATAACCCCCAAACTTATGTGCCCAGTCTTAGGTACGATGCCAGTATTGAGACCTAGACTCAACTACTTATATGACACAGTTTCTTCTCTGTTTTACAGACTTATCAGACTGACCCTGAGGCCCCTAAACCTCCTATCCTTGCAGCCCTCACAGGTCAGGAAACTGCAAATCCAATGATCTAGTGACCCAGAAGTCCCGGGAAGCTGTTTTGGGCCGCAAAAGACCTAGGATGGATTATGGAATAGATAATGCTCAGCTGAGGCCTCCAGCATCCTCCCCAGGAAGAATGGCATGCTACATTTTCTGTCGTCAGCCCAGAAAATGATCTGGTAGGAAGTATCCGAGAGCAATCAAGAGGTCAGCTGGGCTCCGGACCCACACTCAGTCGTGCTAACCTAAGGTGGGCAAATCCTTTTGCCTCCCAAGCCTCGATTTCCCCGGATGAAGAATGGTGGTCTTACACCTGTTCTGGGGGGGGGTCCTTCCCCACAAACTCGGTCCTCTAGCTGTCCCGGCATTGGGGAGAAACTTGGACCTTTGAGCGCCTTCCACTCTTGGCGTGACTTAACCGGGAGAAGCGCTCCCAGTTTAGTTGGACAGAGTGGCAAAACGTTTAAAAACAAAAAGAAAAAAACTACATTACCCAGAAGACTCTGCTGCGCCCGGGCCCAATAACGGACCGGGGTGAGTAGCACTTCCTTGTTGCTCGCCAAGGACGCTGTTTGCTCTGCACATCGGTTCCCGGGGAGGGAGGCTCAATTTGACACCGGGACCCTAGGGTCAAGGCCGGACGCACTTGGGGCAAAGCGCTCGATTCCCCCCCCGGAAAGTCGCGACTATGGAGGCCGGGAAGGACCGCACGCAGTGAATGCACTGTAAACGTGAAGTCGCTGCTCGGGGAACTGAGACAGCCGCCCCCCCCCCATGGAACTCCACCGTTGTCATTGCTTTGGGCACGGGGGGGGGGGGAAGTGGGGGTCCCGGACGTTTCCGAAAGATGCTCAGTTTGAGCTGCACCTGACAGCAGGAAGGACCGGTTAGAAAGCCAGTGACCGTGGAGGGACCGGAACGATGCAGGTCAACAAGAGCCCGTTTGCTAAATTGTCTTGGGCTAACTTTTAGCCCACCTTATTAACTGTTCCTCGCCGGCCTCGGTGACTGCCCTGACACCGTTGTGAAACACAGATGGAACGTTTGGGGTGTCCTAACTTAGCAGACCGCTGGCTTCCACCAACCAGAAAGCAAAGAAAAGAGAGATCTGAGACCTATAGCAGAGGTTTCTCCACTGGCCTCTAACCTACCCGACTGATGTACTCGGGAGTGTATTTGAAAAATCTTTGTTCTGTATCTTCTTTAAACATTTTTAAATTATTATTATTTTTTTACATTCCAATCCCGGTTCCCCTCCCTCCTCTTCCCATCCCCCCCCCCATCTGCCCCACACAGAAGGTAAGGCCTTCCCTAGGAAGTCTACTAAGTCTGTGCCATCATCTCGCTGAGGCAGACGCAAAGCACCTCTCCATCCCAACACCCCTGTGTGTAGGCTGGGCAAGGTATCTCTCCATACAGAACAGGCTCCACTAAGTCAGTCTGTGCATTAGAGTTAGGTCTTGGACCCACTGCCAGTGGCCTCATTTATTGTCCCAGTCGTATCATTGTCACCTATATTAAGGGAGTCTAGTTCAGTCTTATGCAGGATCCCCATTTGTCAGACCTGAGTCAGTGATCTCTCCCTAGCTCGGGTCAGTTGATTCTGTGGTTTCTCCATCATGGTCTTGACTCCTTTGTTCATATTATCACTCCTCCCTCACTTCCATTGTACTCCAGGAGCTTGGTCCATTGGTTAGTTGTGGATTTCTGCTTCTGCTTCCATCTGTTTCTAGAAGAGGGCTCTAACTTCTCTGGGGCTGTGGATTGCGGGCTGGGTATCTTTTGCTTTATGTCTGGTATCCACTTATGAGTGAGTACATACTGTGTTCGTCTTTCTGGTTCTGGGTTACCTCACTCAGGATGTTTTTTTTTCTAGTTCTGTCCATTTGCCTGCAAATTTTAGGATGTCATTGTTTCTTACCACTGAATAGTATTCCATTGTGTAAATGTACCACATTTTCTTTGTCCATTCTTCAGTTGAAGAGCATCTAGGGTGTTTCTAGGATCTGCCTATTATAAATAATGTTGCTATGAACATAGTTGAGCAAATGTTCCTGTGTGAATGTATCTCCTTTGGGCACGTTCCCAAATGTTCTGTATCTTAAAACTTTTGGAACATAGCATTTGGGTTAACCTAAATCTGAGTTCCAGGGCCATGGTCACCCATATTTGGCTTCTGCTTTAAGGTGAGAGCTGTGTTTTTTCCGTCGTCACCGATGGCAAGCAGTTGCACGAGTCATGATGCTTCCTCTAAGGGATCCAGTCATACTAATAACTCCACCTGTTCAGGTACAGATCCACTGAGACTTACGAGATCTCTGTGCAACAGTACTGGTTTAAGAAAGGCAAGGAAGATTAGCGCATTCCAGTTAGGGAGATTTCCTTGAAGGAATACAGGTATTGAAAGACCCCAGGCGGGGGACTTTCACGGGAGGGAGACCCGAACCCAAGGAACACCGAGGCCACGAGCTTGGATGCAAACAGCAAGAGGCTTTATTGATAATACACGGGTACCCGGGGCGTCTCAGTCTCGGGAACTGAGAGCCCCGAGCTGGGGACTCAGGGGTTCTTTTATAGCAAAAAGCGCAGTACAGAAGCGAGAAGCCTAGTTACGGGACCCTGATTGGGTAATTTAAATGAGGCTGGGGCTCAGAACGAGATTTCTCTCATCTGGACAGAGAGGCAATTAAGGTTTCTCTCATCTGGACAGAGAGGCAATTAAGGTTTCTCTCATCTGGACAGAGAGGCAATTAAGGTTTCTCTCATCTGGACAGAGAGGCAATTAAGGTTTCTCTCAGAACTCAATTCTCGGCCTTGGCCCTATCTGAAGAACAAAGGTTTCTGTGCCTGCCCAATCTTTCTGGGCTGGCTGTGCAGACCATAGACACCTGGGCCCCTATCTGGACAGAGATAGTAGTGACTATGCAGCTGTAAAGACCTTGAGCTGAGCTTCCTTCTGATCAAAAAATGACTATTCGGCTGAGCTGTGGGGGAAAGGAATTTTCCATAGGCCTCAGCCACCTGTGCTGGGCCGGGGTCTTTCAGTATATTGGCCCATTAAGAAGCCCCCAGCAGTACCTATGAGGTTGCCTCGATGGAGAAATGAATAGCAAAACAGTGAAGTCGTCTCCAAGTATTTCCAGCTTCCAATCACCTGTAGCCAGTGAAGGGACTTGATTCTGAGAACCACAGCTGGTATTATTTGTCCTTGGCCATTGTGTCCCCTGTTTTTGAAGTGTCCTAACATCAGGGACAGGGCTGTCAGTATCCTGCGAGGAAAATGGTAGGCATCTCATTGTGGAATTTCTCTCGGAATCTAGGAGGCCTAAGAAAGGTCTAGGCCACTTGGGAAGCTGGTCAGGACCTTGTCTCAAGTAGACACTTGTAATTTTCTCATTGTTCTTGTATTCAGGCAAGGTCTTAGTGCACAGCCCAGGCTGGCTTCAAATTGGGAGTTCTGCTGCTGGGATTACAGGTGGACGCCATGGCAACCAACACAAGCACATTTGTTGTGACACCAGCTATAAACCCTACTTTGTCTAGCCATGTCTGAAGGGCATTTTTCAAAGGTTATTTAATGGGTTTGTCAGGAGGAAAAAAAGAGTGGAAATGCTATACGAACTCACTATTTTTTTAAAGAAAAAATATTTCTTAAATGATAGCATATGCTAGCGTAAGGGCATGTGCACATGAGCCCTCAAAGGCCTGAATAGAGCATGTGATGCCTGGAGCTGGAGGTACTGATGTGGGTGCTGGGGGCCAGACTCAGGTCCACTGTTGGTAGCCACTGAGCCAGTTCTCCAGCTCTGCAACTCCTTTGTGGAATAAACGTGTCACCTTAGAGTCTCCTTGGTGCTAATGGAGGGTCAGAATTACTGTTACAACAACCTTGAACCCGAGTGCACTTCCTGCTGTGAGCCGGTAAAGCACCCTTAGCCTGGAGTCACCGGCTACCACGTGAGGATCTGATGATGGGGACTTCACAGGCCATGGGAATTTTCTCTTTTAAGAATTCTTATTGCCAGGGGCTGAAGAGATGGCTCCGTGGCTAAGAGCACTGGCTGTTCTAGAGGGCTGGGGGTTTGATTCCCAGCACCCACACGCAGCTCACAACTGTCTGTAACTACAGTTCTAGGACTCGGCATCTTCAATCAGACAGGCAGACATAAATGCAGGCAAAAACATCCGCCCACATAAAAATAAGTAAATTAGTCAGGCGGTGGTGGCGCACGCCTTTAATCCCAGCACTCGGGAGGCAGAGGCAGGCGGATCCGTGTGAGATCTAGGTCAGCCTGGTCTACAGAGCAAGTTCCAGGTCAGCTAGGGCTGTTACACAGAGAAACCCTGTCTCAAAACCCCCTCCCCAAAAAAGGAATTAAAAATGTCCTATTATCGGATAGAACTATCTTTGTTGTTTGTATATTTATTTAGTGTGTATGCGTGCATGCTTGTACAGGGGTAGGGAAGTCAGAGGGTAACTTACGGGAGTTGCGTCTCACTTTCCACCATGACAGTTGCAGGGATGGAAATCACGTCATCAGGCTGGACAGCAAGCGCTTTTACCCACTGAGCCATCCTGGCAGCCCTAGAACTATTGTTGTGAAACAGCGTGGAGAGGCTCTGTTTGTGCCTGTATTGCTATCACACTCATGTCTTCGTTCTTCTGATTTCTTAGAATCCTTTCTCTCTGCATCTCAGAACCCACATGTTTTTGTTGTCTGCCCTTCTGACTTTGTTTGAGGTAGTTGTCTTTTTCATGAGTATTTATTTATTAATTTATCATATCTGGTTTTTGTTTTTTACTTTATTTATGGTTTGTGTGTGTGTGTGTGTAAACGCACACACACGCACGCATGTAACAGCCTGGGTACAGAGGTCAGAGGACAACTTCAGGGAGTCGGTTCTCTTTCTATGCCATCTGAGTCCAAGATAATCAAACTTGGGTGGGCAAGCTTAGCCACAAGTCCTCTAAACCACTGAGCCATCTTGCCAGCCCCATTACCTGGTTTCTTTTTTGTTTTTGAGACAGTCTCATGTAACCCAGGCTGGCCTTGAGCTTGCTGTATAGCTTTGAAATAATAGCGATCTTCCTGCCTTCGGCCTTGAAGTCCTGGGGTTGTCGGTGTGAGTTTCAGGCCCTGATGACTCTCAACACGGGAGGCTTCTCTCCTTATACCTCTGTGCTTTTCCCAGCATTATGTCCCTGACCCTGAGACTCACAACGGAGCCTGGGCATGACGATAACCTGCGTGGTTTTTGGGCCTTCGTCTCTCTTAAGCTCTTTCAGTGAGGCATGGGCCAGCTCCTCCCATAGAACCCCAAGGCTAACACCAATGCCTCTGTTTGACTTTGCAAGCTTTCTCTGACCTTTGAAGATGTGGCCGTGGCTTTCACCCAGGAGGAGTGGGGGCAGCTGGACCCTGCTCAGAAGACTTTGTACCAGGAGGTGATGCTGGTACATCTGGGTTCCTGGTCTCTCTGGGTAAAGGCTTTCTACTCTACTCGAAAAAAAATACTTTTAAAATATGTTTTGTTTATTTAGTATACGTGAGTGGGTACCACACATGCTGTGTGTGGAGGTCAAAGGGCAATTTGCGGAAACGAACGCTCTCCTTGCACCATTACGGGTCCTAAGAATCAAACTCAGGTCGTCA